CCCATCTAAGAGTGATTGAGAGTATCGTATTGCAATAGTCCAGGGTCACATATTGGAAAGTGTAGGACACTGGAAATTCTTTATATGCTGAAAGGAATGGAGGAAATATTAAGGTGTCAAAGCTGGGATTCGAACCTGCGTTCTATTAATCATTAAATAGACAGATAAACCCACTTGTCTCTAATATGTACCCAGTTGTAAGGAATTAAGTGGCTTCATTAGGTGGGCATAGTTGGTGCGATAAAATTCTAGTTGTTTAACCGTATTAGGTGAAAGCAATTACTAAACCATTTTTCTCACAGTTAACAGTTCAAATATCATCTTATTAATGGTTATTTATCTATTTTGTTTGAACATGGTAAAATACCTATTAAATAAATTGCGATGTAACCATTTTCTGAGAAAATTTTAACAGTGTATCCTTTTTACTTCACGCATACATTCATTCTCTCTAAGGAAATTAAAACTCAAGATAATTTGAGCTCTAACAAACTGAGGTTTCCGAAAGATTTAATAAAAACATTCATTTATAAAAATATACCTTAACAGTTACTTTTAGCTTAGTTATGATAAAATCAAAAAACGTACGCCTGCTTTGGTGTTTCACTTCTAATGGCGATCATACAGTTTTATGAAGTGTCAGTTTTTGCAATCTTACTGAAATTGGCAAGAGTAATAATTCAAATCTCTGCTCCTACTAAATAAATTGAAAACTTACTACGGTTTGCGAAGTATTGAGTTTACTAATATTGAAAGTTAATTTTGACATTTTGCACAGGCAGTAAGGAGAACGAAAGCATTTAGAACGCTGACAATTTTAATCTGGTTTCATTATTTGAGCAATCCTACCTCAAGATATTGAGCTTCAAACTTTTAAAAACGCAAGATAAATAGCGAAAAAGAAAAGCTTAGGATAGCTTATTTATGATTTAATTGGAAACATATTGAACTGCTATACAGGGGTTGAACAAAATAAAGGAAACACTTCTATACTAACACAGATCTTGATATTTCTCAAAAAAAACTTAGAGAATCATTTTATAAATAAGTGTTTAGGATATGTGATTTTTCATACTTATTAATGATGTTTAAAGTTTTTAAAAGTTTGAGGGACCACCAATAAATCATAAACGGAAAATAGTGCTTATAAACACTCTATGCCAAAAAATTTGTCAATAAATTTATAATTCGTAACAATTATTTGGTTATTATATGCAATAATTGCAAAAAATTTCTTAAACCTAGATCAAATATTTACTTGCCTTATTTTATTTATAAATATTTTTAATAGCTTGATATGGACATTTTTATAAAAAAAAAAAAAGCAATTTTTTGTCTCACGTTTTTTTGCTATAACTTTACATTCAATAAAATTAACCAAAATTTTTGGAGCAATTTAAAATTAATTTTAAAATTATTGCTTTAAAATTTGAGAACATTTTCTTCATAACTGTGCAAGATATGGGTGGTAAAAATAGTTTTTTTATACTGAGCATGCGGGAAAAATTTACATTTGTTTTTCTTAATTCTATAGTGATTCGCATTTGGCAACTAATAAAAAAAAGTTCCATTTGAATGTTTGAAAAATTTGAAAAGTAGTTTTCGTACTTTTGAAAAGAAATCTCAAAATTATGAGGGGTGTTATACAAATTTTATTTGTGCAACTAAGCAAGATTTATTAAAAATGGCGCCGGCACTGTTGGCAATGATCTTCCATATATTTATCTTTTATTTCACACTTTTTCTTTTTTTATACAATCATATTTCAGTGTACGAATGTTTATTGCAAAGTATTTATCCTTTTTATTTTATTTTGTATTATGATACAAAATAATATTTCTAGAAAGCCCCTTATCATTTTGACTTTTTGTTAAAAAGTACAAAAACTATCTAGAAAATTGCTTGAAATTTTTTAATTTTTTAAGGTATCCAAATTGGACTTTTTTCATTAGTTTCTAAATACGATCCATTACAAAATTATGAAGAAAAAAATCGAATTTTTTCGGCTCATGAGCAGAATAAAAAAAACTACTTTAATTACTTATATATTGCACTGTTTTCAACTACTTTTTTTCAAATTTTAAAGCAAAAGTTTTGCAATTAATTTTAAATTGCTCTAAAAATTTTTTAATTTTATTGAGTATTTTTAAAATTACAGCAAAAGCGTAAGACGAAAAAATTAGTTAATTAAATATGTCCATATGTCCAAAAATCTTACTAATCCATATGTCCAAAAATCTTACTAACACAATTTTGTTAAATTATTGCATATAATAACCAAAGTAATTATTACAAGTTAAAAATTTATTGCTGCATTTTTTGGAGTAGGGTGTTCATAAACACTATTTCCTGTTTATAATTTATTGTCGATCCTTCTAACCTATGAAAACTTTGAAATTCTTTAATAAGTAGGAGATATTGCATGATATAAACATTTCTGAAGCTCTAAAATGATGATTCCTTGAGTATTTCTAGAGAAATATGAAAAAAAATGTGATAGTATAGAAGTGTTTCCATTATTTTGTCCACTCCCTGTATTTCTCCCTAGTAAAAAAAATGAGCCTTCAACAGTTTCAGACTCTTGAAAACAGATACTTTCTTGTTTAGAATAAAATACACTCTATAACAAAAAAATCGACGCACCAAGAAGGAGATGTCCAATTAAAACGAAAATTGATGGATAGGAAGACAATGTACAGAATAGTAAATGATTAAAATTTCAGAACAATTGAATAATTTATTGCAGAGTTACAGAACCAAGGTCAATAAGGTGTTGACCCACCTCTAGCCTGGATGCAAGCTGCCACACGGCGTGGCATAGACCGATAAAGCTCCCGGATGGTCTCTTGCGGTATTTCCTGCCAAATTCGATCCAATTGTCGAACGAGGTCATCAACATTCCGTGCCAGATGCAATCGCCTTCCCATCATATCCCAGACATGCTCGATGGGAGAGAGATCTGGTGATCTGGCAGACCAAGGAAGAGTTTGACAAGCTTGCAGACAGTTCATAGCAACACGTGCCGTATGTGGTCTGGCATTGTCCTGCTGAAAAACCAGCCCAGGGCGCTGCAAAAGGAACGGTAGCAAAACAGGTCTTAGGATGTCGTCGACGTACCGCTGTGCAGTAAGTGTACCTCTAATGACGACCAAAGGGGTCCGGCTGTCAAAGGAAATGGCACCCCAGACGATAATGCCTTGTTGAGGGCCGGTGTGGCGTGCAATAGTGAAGGCAGGATCCCCCCTCTGCCCTGTGCGTCTCCAAACACGTCTTCGATGATCGTCAGGACACAGTTGGAAGCGGGATTCGTTGCTAAAGACTATACGTCCCCAGTCGGCATCATTCCAGCCTGATCGAGTCATGCACCACTGTAATCTAGCTCGGCAGTGTGCAGGCGTGAGTGCTTCTTGGTTCGTCGATTTTTTTGTTATAGAGTGTATTTTGTAACATTTTAATGACATTTGAAACAAAACATATTTTTCAATAAGGATTTGATTTTTTTTTTAATAAAAAATTTATTATTTGCCTATAAAAAGCTTAATTATAAACTTACACCGAAAATTAAAAATACTTTAAATAAGTAAATATCTTATGTTTGAAGCCTTTGTAAAAATTTTTAGTTATTTTTTTTATTTTATTTTTCACGTAAATGAAAACGACATCACGTTGTTTGAATTTATATTATAATTTTTTCTCGTAATCTTTGAAACATCTTAAAGATCGTAATCTCCGAAGAAAACAGATAAAAGTAAAAATTTATCTAAAACTCTTATAAGCTTTAAAACTTTTTTTTACTTCTAATCTAGATTATTATTCAAAACTAAATGGAAAAAAAATGCGTTTCGCACATTAAGGGATTATTTTTCATTATTGAAACATCCCTTTGACAACAAACTTAAAATTAATTCTCAGCTATTGTTGTTACGTTTTGCATTTAATATTAATAAAGCCGTAGAAATTTAGTGCAATAAAAAAAATTCATATTATTATTCAAGCTTCAAAAATTCGTAAATTATAATTCACGTTTCATAAAAATATTTACAGCTGTTTTAATCTTTTAAAATTGCAAACAAATAAAACATAATTTAAGGTAACGAGATGAAATATAAATGACAAACACATTTTCTATCAAATAAAAATAGTTATAGATTACAAAGAACTGTTTATTCATTTTTGCCTTTCGCAAAATTCAATTAAGACAGACATGTTAAACATGAGGTCTGCTAATCATCGGTGAATGTCAAAATCGGTGATGAAAACAATTTTTTCAATACTTACTCAGAACTTATTTTGAATTTATTTATATTTTTCCTCTTTTTAGAACAAAGAATAGTATAATTATTTTTGAACTTTTTTTTCATTCTCAATGCAATTAAGAATTCGTGTTAAACATGTGGTCTGCAGCTCATCTGCAGACCTCAATTACGGGGGTGGAAAAAAAAATTTAAATCTTACTTCCCACTCATTTGCATTTAATTTTTATTTCCCTTTTCCTTAAACCAATTTTCAGAAATAGTTATAATTTTAATTAATGCATTTTCAATTGAAGCAAACTATAATTATATCAACCAAATTATATTAAATTAGGAAACTATAATTATTGATCTCCATAAATTAAGGCAGTTTTTATTATTATATTTTATATTTTAAATGGCATAAAAAAATTACCATAACTAGGGATGGAAAAGTATTGTAATGCGTAAACTCTTTACCAAAGTTCGCTTCTAATTTAGACATCGTTAAAAAATTAAAAATAAAAATAAATAGTTTTTCAGTCTACTTAAATACTTACCAACCAATTATATTTATGATTGTCCCAATTCTTATTAATTTTCTCAATCACTTGTCCAGAATGTTAATTAAAATAACTTTTTATTCCAAATTAGTGACAAAATATGACAATTCTGTCACAAATGTGACAAAAGTGACAAATATGAAATTCTTTGACAATTTTGTTTAAAAGAGAACATTTAAAAGAGAATGATGTTAATAAAACTTACCTTTGAGTCTTGTATACTCAAATAAATATTGAAAAACTGGAGAACAGAAATTTTTGAGAATAAACCATTTTGAGCTTGAATTTGATAAGGTGGAGAGTAACTGTAAAATATAATATGAACTTTAAAAAACTTTTCAACTTTTTAAAACTATAATATGAATTATTTTTTATTCCGCTGATAAAATTTTGAGAGAAATATTGTTATACAATGATATTGATTTGAAATAAGCCATGAAAACTGTTATGTGAGCATTAATTTTATCTATTTTTTTATTTGCTTTCATATAAACATTTCCTATTTAATGTTTTTCTGGAATTAGAGTTTAAAACATTAATAATATTTTAATTATAATATTTAATAATACTGTTATTCAGAAAAGCAATTTGGATATGGAAGAATCAAAAAAAAATTTTGAAGTTTATAGAAATGCAAAACAAAAAACAAATATTTAGTTTTGATTTAAATGGACATAAATTCATCAATCAAATGAAATGTAAAAGACAATATTGAAAAAAATTGTTATTAGGCATATTGTTCATTTGTTTCAATATAATAAAATATGATTTAATATAGCAAAAATAGGCTTTAAATTAAATTTAAACGAAATAATAGATGCTCAAACATCACAAAATTTTCTTCGTTTTTGACGAAACCGTTTACTGGTATATGCTCCTATAAATTTCGTCAAGGGGACGAAATAAATATCGTCACTTCTTCTAGGAAACGAATTTCGTCAAAATCAAAAAAGTAATTCCTTATTCAACTTTTTTTTCAAGAAAAAAACTTTGTTGTACATAATGTATTTATTTTTCTAATAATTACTTACACGTGGTCACCATGTAGATGGCACAACACAACAAAGACGGGTAGAACGAGAGATAAGTGACAAAAACTCCCGAGGCAGGATTCGAATCCCGGACCTTCTCAGAGCGAAGCCAATTCCTCGACCACCATGCACACCGGTCGGCTTAATTTGTCACTTTATTTTCGATTGTCTAGTCTTTATTCTTGTTTACTCATTCCAGTTTACAATCTCCCACTATGTACTACGATGAGGTTCCGAGTAGAGGAAACATTTTTGTCACACATTTGAAAGGTCGCGTTTCGTCACAAATCACGTGATTTCGTGACGAATTAATTTTCAAAATTAATGAAATACTGCTCAAGGATTGTTGAATCGTTAAAAGTGATAATTTTATTTCTGAGAATGTGCCTCAGAAAAAAAAATTGGCATATAAAATCTACCATTATAAGTGATAAAAGAATTTTTATTTTTTGGAAAGTTGTGTTTTCAATTTATAAATTATCTATACTATTAGTTTATAAGTGCGCACATATTTAAAGAAAACCATGCCAAATGCTTTAGAAAATAACATGTCTGATTAACCTGAGCAGCAACAACAGTTTTTAAAAAAATAATTTTCGCATGTACATAATTTTGAAAAGGCTTGTTTAAATTAATGTAAAAAAAATTGAAAGTGTATTGCAGTTAAATAAAACTTCATTTATTTGTAAAAAGTTAGCAGATTAAGAACAATAAATGATGCTACGGATGTTCTAGTGATAAACTTAGTAATTTAAAATCTAATAAATGAACTGTTCAATTTAAACAAATATTGATGGACCTGCATTTTAGACATAATTTATTACCATAATCTGAATCGTTTAATATACAGAATCCCTTATTACCTTTGACTTCGTTTTAATCTTGTACGAAATAAATTCCTTCTTCGAGTTCGAGATCTTGGAATTGTCTTGATGGAATTAACCATTCCCTAGAAAAGTACAAATATTTTCAACAGTTTTATTACACCGAGAAAAAAATATGCTCGAAATTATCAGAATATGGTAACATTTATAATGTTTCTGGCTTCATGGGAACACCGAAAAGAACGGTACTTTTAACTGAATCGCTTTATAAGGACTTTAGGTAAAATTAACAATAAAATACGGTTTTAATGCAATGCTACTTGGTAGTAACTGTGGCAAAATTTGGTAATTATATCACGATACCTTAGAGCATTGCATGTAAGCCATTTTTATAGTTAATTTTACTTTTCAGTTTTGTATTTTAACTAAATGTGCGGTAATAAGAACTGTAATTTTGAAAACCAGAATTTCTGATAAACCGTTACCGGACGGAAAAATACCAAATGAATGGTTTAAATCCTATGTATTTTGATTTTATTGACCAGAATTATATTTCTGTTTTCTGTACTAGAAATGCCATTACTTTACAAATTCGGTGAAATTTCTTTCACCATGTATAGTAAACAACAAAACATTAAGATTATTAAAATTTTACTATCTAATTTGTAAAAAAAAGGGCGACGTATACTTTGTCTTGCATAATTCTCGTTTTCTTAACATTCAAACTATTTAAGGAAATATATTTTAAATTTCCCCTTCTCTGCATATCCATTAAACAACATGTGATAAACTAGTTTGTAATGCCAGAAAGTAACCAAGTGTAAAAAAAAATATTCCGAGTTAAATACTTAAGCCTTTTATTTCCTTTTCCTTAATATTAATGTAATTAGGTTTTGTTTTTATTAAAAATATATCACATTTGAAAGTACACTATGAAAAAAGAGTCTAGAAAACTTTCGATTTAATTAATAAGTTAACAATAGTTAGTGAAATTTATTCATGAAGTCTTGAGATTCCGCCAAAATAGAGTCGGCCATTTAGGGTTCAACTGCAGAAAAGAATTTGTTAACCACTACCTTAAATTCTTTTGTAAAAGTTGACTTATTCTGTGAAATTATACAGGGTAATTCAAAATGAATACAGCGATTACAAACGACTGCAACTATTTAATCAGAAACGAATTTACCAATAAAATTTACTCAGAATGTAGAAGGAACTTCAACATTTTGTATACATGCGTCACAGATTTTCTATGTGACTTCCCGTGGTCACACGGACAACATCTAGATGGACAACATTTATGCCGTCACCGACACAAGCGCATTACAATGCATTCTTTGAATTCTTCAATTGCTTTGAGCAAGAGTAGATAGAAATCACAGGATGCCAAGTCCGGAGATTTCGGTGGCTAAGAACAGAAGACAGCATCTGCACGGGACTCGCTATTATCCCTAATGAACTCGCGCATGCGCAGGATTCCACTTCACTGCTCCTGCACCTTACGTAAAGAAATTTTGAAGTTCCATCTACTTTCTATATTAATCTTATCTATAAATTGTTTTTCATTAAATAGTTAGAGCTGTTTGTAATCACTATATTCGTTTTGAATTACCCTGTACAGTAATATTTGCCTCAAACTTTACAGAACTTATAGTAAATTTGAATACTTTTGCAAAACAAAGGTTACTCGCAGTTCTGAAAATCCGTATAAAAATGGAACGATGCTTGTAACTTTTCTAAACGAGTTATATCACAAATTAAATAAAAATCTGTTACAAATTCTCTTCACGCACAAAATCAAATTTCCAAAGTTAACAACTTAAGAATTAGTTTTTAATAAGTTATAGCTAAGCAGTTCGCTGAAAATAATTTCGTTCCTTACATACTAAAAATAATTAATGCAACAAAAGAGGAAAAAATAAAAACTATATTCTGCTCGAGTAGTTGTTTCATTAGCGCTCACAATACCTGCTTGAGAGAGAAAAGTAAACAAATAAAAAAAAATGCTGACTAAATGCATACATGATTAAGTTATCTAAAAAATATCTTCAGTTATTAATTAAGTTCTCAACAGCTAATAGTCTTATCTCTGATGTAAATAAACCTAAGTAATACTCAAACTGAATGGTGGAATGCAAATTAATCCTACAGCTTAAAGTATAAAGATTTAATATCTTGTAAAATGCATGAAAGAAAACAATTAACTTTCGAGGATTATGAATGCCTTAAAGACATATTGTTAGTAAAGAAATTTATACAAAAATCAAAGCATCTTAAAGCGTTGTTCAGAACTAAAAATGGGATGCATTGTGTTTCTAAAGTATATTATGCACTTAAAGAAATCGGAAAAATTAATAAGAAATTTCTGAATATAATTTGTCTCCTGCACAATGACAGAGAATTAAAAATAAATAGTTTCTATAAAAAATACAGTAAAATATTCATACAAAATGTTTGTAATTTTCGATCGATTTTTGCTAAAGCTTGGGCGATTTTTGTGCATAAAACTGCGTAAATTACGTTCCAATTTTAAGAAATTCTAATTTTTTAAGATCTATAAATGACAGGGACATTACCAATTACCAACCATAGTCAAGCATCTGGCCTATTTCAAGTCTCTATCTTGAACAGCCATCGTATGAAGATAGCCCTGATTAAACGACGGGGACAGCATCTGAGCTGGTATTCCTCTCCCCCAAACCTCCATAATGCAGCCAACGAGAGAATTTTCAGCTACGACAGATGGAACATGCTTCTTTGCTGCCTACCCACGTCGGTTGTTTAGTTAGCTGCCAAGATCAAATTCACAATTCCCAGATCTTAACCAGAAGTATAAGGCAACGCCTTAACCAAACAGTGCCTTAACCAATCAGTGCCCTAAAAAAGCAGCGCTCCAAGAACATTGCTCCAAAATAGGATCTCAAGTAGCGAAATATTATCGGAAAAAAATACAATTCAACCAAACGATCAACTTTTAAAGGGGAGACACCGGCCTTCTAAAATTCTATTATTTAACATGATGCAAAAATTTTCATACCTCACATTTCAAACATTTTCGACCGAATAAAATAATTAAAAAAATAATAATGATTGACAATTATTTTTGGATAAACGAATTATATAGTTGTATTCACAAATTTTTCAATTCGCTTTAATAATTTTCGAGGTGTGGCGAAATTCGCAAAGAGTAAAATTTATGTTAAGGGATAAGACTGGTAAGACTGTTATTTTTCCCTATATTTTGATTACCCCTATATTTAGAAGGTAAGGTAATCCAAATCTGTCGAAAAAAGGGAGGAATTCAGAGAAAATGCGTATTTGTGTCTGATTTCTCTACTTGAAATATCATCCACACTTACTAATTAGTATATTTTAAGCCTCCCTTTGAACCATTAAGATTCAAGGTAATTCTTTTCTTCTTTTTTTGTGCACTATACATCATTTTCAATGGCAGTTNGCATCATGATCTCAAGTCGCGAAATATTATCGGAACAAATACAATTCAACCAAACGATCAACTTTTAAAGGGGAGAATCGAACACCGGCCTTCTAAAATTCTATTATTTAACATGTTGCAAAAATTTTCATACCTCACATTTCAAACATTTTCGACCGAATAAAATAATAAAAAAAATAATAATGATTGACAATTATTTTTGGATAAACGAATTATATAGTTGTATTCACAAATTTTTCAATTCGCTTTAATAATTTTCGAGGTGTGGCGAAATTCGCAAAGAGTAAAATTTATGTTAAGGGATAAGACTGGTAAGACTGTTATTTTTCCCTATATTTTGATTACCCCTATATTTAGAAGGTAAGGTAATCCAAATCTGTCGAAAAAAGGGAGGAATTCAGAGAAAATGCGTATTTGTGTCTGATTTCTCTACTTGAAATATCATCCACACTTACTAATTAGTATATTTTAAGCCTCCCTTTGAACCATTAAGATTCAAGGTAATTCTTTTCTTCTTTTTTTGTGCACTATACATCATTTTCAATGGCAGTTACTAACATTCCCTACTAGTTATAATCTATTTTTTAAAAAACAAAATGCATTTTTTATTTTAAAAAAATTTTAATGAATATATCAACAGGAGACATGTACAGGATGTTCCCTAATAACCACCCTTTATGCGTGTTTTAAGAAATCTTGTCAAGATCGAAATTAAAGGAAACACAATGAAGATTTTGAATTATTATTTGAAAGAGAGATAAAAAAAACGCTTTACAAATCTATTCAGTCAAAGGTGACGAAGGCTGGATTAAAAACGCCGAAACCAGTTAGATTTTTTTATTCAACTTGTAGGTGTTTCTTCTAGCAATTACCTTTCACTTACTTCTTGGCAATTAAACGGGTTTTCTAGCTCTGTCTTACTTAAGAGTGATTTGTTAGATCTTGAAAGCGTCTTTGATTTTTTCCATGCTTAAATATCACTTTAAGACTCTTAATATCCATACTATTTGATTTCATTCGTGATAAGGATTCTAATTCTACATATTAAGAGAAGGTTATTACGAAACACTCTGAATATTTTGAAACTCTTTTTTTTACATTTGAAATTTTCCCTTTAATTATTAGCTGGTTAGGTGATTTGAATTTTATCTTGTAATTAACCTTATATTTCTAACAACTTTTCTCCAAATAATATAGCTAAATTCTCTTTGCATTATCTTTATTAAAATTAATATATTCCTTTTAAGATTTCAATCGATTCGATGCATTATGCCTAAAGAATGAATTTTATCATTATTTCCCATCTTAAGAAAATGAAAAAATATTGTATAATGAGCATAATTTATCAATTTAAATTAGCAACTGTTTCAACCTTCCTAAGCAAGTAAATTTTACTTTGTATTCATTGTCTACAGCCAGGGAAACGTCTTCCCACGAATTTATATGAAGATTAAAACAAGCATTCTCTTGGCGGTAGTCAGTACAAAGAATGGAGTAAGATGTCTCGCCAACTTGATCAATATCACGTGTTGCGTTTGAAGTAGTTCGACTTTCTCTGCATCTTATATTGTATTCAACAGACTCGGCCTTATACAGTGACTTGGAAAAGAGTAGAGGTTCGCAGCATTTGCTGTAGGAGTCAGTCTGGGGAAGAAAAAAAAAGATAAAAACGGAGATTAAAAATTAAAAATTTGTGCAGACGTACTACTCAATATGTTTGCAATACAATAATGTATTGCTGGCATTAAATTAATGTTTTTGATTCTGAATTCTTTGTAGTAACAATCAATCATAAATTATAAGTAAACATAACATTTTAACACTTCCCATACATAACTTAATTTAAATCATCGCTTAATATTTAGATTTATTAGATATCATTAATTTTAACTAATTTAATAGTGACTACGAAATTAATAGTGACCACAAAATAATGTACTGAGAGTTACGTAGTCACCATTAGTTACGTACTCAAACTAATAGTGATTACGAAATAAATCTGTGGTTATTTTTATATTTGTTATAGTATAAACTAGCATAGCTTTAAAAGACTCATTAATTTTCATTATAATTTAACTTGTGTAACGAGTATAAATCCTAAGTGATTAAATGTAACATTTGCAATCTATGAAGATGTTAAAGTACTACAGTGCTTAGTTATCTTGGCTAAGATGCCATAGAAATTTTTAAAAAACTAACACTTTGTTTTAAATGTAATAATTTAAAAAAAGCAATAAGTGAAATATATGTAAAGTATAAGTAAAATAATAAGCAAAGTATAGGCTAAATAACTAGGTAAAAATAAATAAAATATTAGTAAATAATAAATAAAGAATAATTAAAATTAGTAAAATATAAGTAAAGTTAGTAATAAAAGAAGTAATAAATAAAGTAATAAATAAGTAAATAATAAATGAATCATAAGTTGAAAATAAATGAAGAATAAATAATGGAAAATAATAAGGTAAATATAAGTAAAGAATGCTACAGTATTAGAGTATATTAACTATTCTAAAGTATTACAGCGTACACTGTATGTTAAAATACAGTGTATTATAATATGTTTATATTCAATTTATTATAATATGCAAAGTATTGAAGCACAATCATTGTATAAAAATATATACAACGTGGCAATGTGATATATTATATACAATGTGATAGTAAATTGTTTTGTACAAATAGAAATATTTACATTTGATATTCTTTTCACAAAATATTTCGAGTTTTATGAGTTGGATTTGTAAATTATCGAACATTTCGTGTATAAATGATAGATAACAGTAATTTGGAACTTTTTTTTCTTTTTAAATAAACATGAAATGTACCAAACATACAATTCAGGCCAAATGCTTTATGAAGACAGGCAAGTGAAAGAGTGACGTAAAATTGAGGTCAATATAATAAAAGTAAATCATGGCAACCATCAAAAGTAAACAAACTTTAACTCCAGTATTTCAGCATTTTCGTGCATTCCTGTAATGAAAGCTTATTTTAACAATAATGTTTCAGGAGTTAGTTTTATTTTTTATAACCAGATGTCACTGCAGTAGTTATTTTTAATCATTAACCAACAACTTTTATCGTAAGTTTTTTGTAGGCATCATTCTGCATCGATCTTTAGTTAACTGCTCATTTAAAATTGTGAAAAACACATTTCGTTAGCATTTTTATTATTTTAATACAGTCCATTTGTTCGCATCTGTTTTCAATAACTAGCAACTTCAAAATTAACTGTTTCGTTAATTCTACTCTTTTTATCCTAAGATCTTCATGTCAGGTAACTGTGAGTTAGAATTCAAGCTTTCTCTAGATATTTTTTCACTTCATGCAATTTCTTAGCTCGTCCTAATGATTTCCCTCTCACTTTTTAAAAATATTCTTAAGAAAAATATAATTTCTTAAAAAAATTTTAAAAATCCAATTATTTAAAAAATTATTATTAATTCCCTATCTTCAGATTTAATTTATATTACAGTTTCATTTTGGTGCCAAAAACCCAGCCAAGTAAACCCACTTCTTCAGCTTATGTATTTTATTTTATATCCTGTTTAGAACAACCGACCCATTTTTAGGTTTACGATTGCCAGTGATCAACTCCGTAGTCTTTTAGTTTCGAAGCCAACCCAGAAGACAAAAGAACTCCTGAATCAAGTATTGGGACAAACTAGCTTGCGTGGAGGACTTTTTGATGAAACTTGACAGCGTTGCATGGAGAGAAAATTTGCAGAAACATCCCACGGTTCAGCCCGATGGCAAGAAGAGATACGTCGACCAGGAGGATGCTTTACGTCAGAATTTCGGTCGGCTCGAACCGAGAGAAGAATTGATATCGGCCTGTCATTCCATCCTGGGTTACCTCAATGAAAGCAATCAATTTCGGGTTGCTTAGCAATCCGAAAATAATTGCCAAAGCAATTCTGGGGGGTTGTGAGTGTAGTGAGTTGGTGGTGCGACCTTATAGTGGCTAACTATTATTTTCCTGCATAGTTGAAGAAAAAAATAATAATTTTGAATTACTCTGAATTTTTAAATGTTTTTGTTCATCTTTAAATTAAAAATATCTAATATTTTTTTACACAATAATATAACTGCATATAGAAAAATTTCCAATGAAATCTTTCAAAAAACCAACATTTCTACTTTGTTTTTCTAAACAAAGACTAAATTACATCTATATTATATAAAACGCTAATACGTACGTANTTTCAATTTACTGCAAGAAATATAGAACTATTTCTTTAAAATAAAATAAAATATCAATTACAACTTAACTGAATAGTTAAATTGACATTCTTAACTACTCAATATTTAAAATAAGCTTAGAAAGTAACCATTAATTTTGAAAAAGACTTACATCAAAACTAATTTATTTCTTGTCTAAACTATTCACTCAGTTATATATTATTCACTCAAAATATGTTACGAATTTCGTTGTGAAATTAGTTTTATTTGAAGTTAAGCAATAAAATTTCTTTTACTTCGAATAACGTATGACACTTTCTGTTCTCCAACAAATGGCAACAGCAACTAATAAATCCGAACAATGTTTAAATTAATAATGAACGAGACGGAAATTCTATTTTTATGTTCACCGAATTTCATTAATTTTCTTCCACCCTTTCCAGATGTTGAAATGTTTTGTTCGAATTTGATCGATAGCGTTTCAACTACTCAAAACTTAATAAAGGTGGATCATGTTCTCGGGGCTTAAACAATTCTTTAGAACACATAATTAGAAATAGAATTATTGATTCAACTTGAAAAAAAAGTTGTTTCTGACGTTTTTGGCTCTTTGCATGTTTATTACATCTTTTTGTACATTTCAATTCATAAAATATGCAAGAATCTGATTTGTTTTTTCTTTTGCGTCATCATTTAGTTTTTTTATTATTATTATTCCTTTAATAGTAAATGAAAAACTTATGTATATAAAAAAAATCTTGAATATAGAAAAGCAAAATTATGCGTATTTTAGAAAATCTAATAGATATATAGGTTTAATAACAAATCGCTTTTAATTAGTTTTATTAAACCTTTTCTAGATATTTAAAGATTTAGTTTGAGTTTGATCGACAGCGTTTTCAACTGCTCAAAACTTAATAAAGGTGGATCATGTTCTCGGGGCTCAAACGATTCTTTAGAACACATAATTAGAAATAGAATTATTGATTCAATTTGAAAAAAAAAGTTGTTTCTGACGTTTTTGGCTCTATGCATGTTTATTACATCTTTTTGTATATTTCAATTCATAAAATATGCAAGAATCTGATTTGTTTTTTCTTTTGCGTCATCATTTAGTTTTTTTATTATTATTATTCTTTTAATAGTAAATGAAAAATTTATATATATCAAAAAATCTTGAATATAGAAAAGCAAAATTATGCGTATTTTAGGAAATCTAATAGATATTTAAGTTTAATAACAAATCGCTTTTAATTAGTTTTATTAAACCTTTTTTAGATATTTAAAGATTTAGTTTGAGTTTGATCGATAGCGTTTTCAACTGCTCAAAACTTAATAAAGGTGGATCATGTTCTCGGGGCTTAAACAATTCCTTAGAACACATAATTAGAAATAGAATTATTGATTCAATTTGAAAAAAAAGTTGTTTCTGACGTTTTTGGCTCTATGCATGTTTATTATATCTTTTTGTATATTTCAATTCATAAAATATGCAAGAATCTGATTTGTTTTTTCTTTTGCGTCGTCATTTAGTTCTTTTATTATTATTATTCCTTTATAGTAAATGAAAAATTTATACATAAGAAAAAAATCTTGAATATAGAAAAGCAAAATTATGCTTATTTTAGAAAATCTAATAGATATTTAGGTTTAATAACAAATCGCTTTTAATTAGTTTTATTAAACCTTTTCTAGATATTTAAAGATTTAGTTTGAGTTTGATCGATAGCGTTTTCAACTGCTCAAAACTTAATAAAGGTGGATCATGTTCTCGGGGCTCAAACGATTCTTTAGAATACATAATAAAAAATAGAATTATTGATTTGAATTGAAAAAAAAGTTACTTCTGACGTTTTTGATTCTATGCATGTTTCCTATACCTTTTATTCGTTTTTCAGTTCATAAAATATGCAAGAGTTTGATTTTTTTTTTTTTTTTTTCGTTTGCGTCGTCATTTTGTTTTTGCTTTTTATTGTTACGCTTTGAATAGTAAATGATAAATGACAAATAAATTTCTGAATAAATTTCATTTATTTCAGAAAATCTATAAGACATTTAATTTCAAAAACAACTAGCGTTTAGTTAGTTTTATTAAACCATCTCTAGACTCTTCAAGGTTTTGTTCGAACTTAATTCATAGCGTTTCAACTATATTGTAAAAATTTACAGATCAAATTACGGTATTAGGTTCCGACACTTAGAGTGCATCGTCCGTAAATTCCATTTTACCGTAAAACCCTTTTTTACGATAAAACGCTATACCGTAATTTTTACAATAATATTTACTTAATTAGGGTGATTCAGTGATTTTACGATATTTATTATTGTGAAAGTTACGGTTTATCAGATTTTTGTTCCGCGTTACATGTTCCAGTAAAAATAGATTTTATGATAAAAAATATCGGCAAACTGAGCGACGTAACTTTATACAGTAATTTGATCTGAAATTTTTTACAGTGTATTCAAAACTGAATGAAGGTAGATCACGTTCTCAGGGCTTAAATAATTTCTTTAGTACACATAACTAAAAAATAGAATTATTGATTCAAATTGAAAAAGATTGTTTCTGAAGTTTTTTTGCTCTATGAATACTTTACATCTTGATTGTTCTTTCAATTTATCAAATATACAAGAATCTAATTCCTTTTTTTCCTTAGTGTCCTCTTTTATTTTTACACTTTGAACAATAAATAAGAAATTTATAAATGTTTAAAAATAAGATATTGTTTATTTAAGAAAATACGTGACATATTTAATTTTTAAAACAAATGGTATTTAGTAAGTTTTAGTAAATGACAGCTATAATCTTAAAATATAGTCTTTAGAAATTTCTGAAATTATAAACTTTCGTGTTCTTGACGAAATTATAGGCAGTACCAGGAGCGTAGCGAGAAATTATTCACAGGGTGAGGGATTGGCGTAAATTACTTATGCAAATGCATAGAGTTGACAAGTTTTCATACTCTTATAATCCTTGTTACATAATATTTTTTTCCTTTAGAAAATGATAAAGTTAATCCGAATTAGTTTTCTTTTTCAGAATGGGTTCAAAATAGTTTCCTCTTTTAGCCATAAAAACCAACATTTTAGTTTCTCATTGCCATTCTTTGAAAACTTTCTTTGATTTAAAAACATTCTTTTAAAACTTTCTTTCTAGCTTTGTCCGCCATTTTGATAAAAAATACTAGGAGAGATAAAAATCATGTAATACTTCTTATTCAATTTCTTTTTTTTCTCTTGTTCGTAACTCGTATGAGAATTTTGCAAATATTTTCGCATGGCAAATTTCTTGGAGTGACCCTCAAGCATTGGATGTTATCTTATTTATATTAGGTTGGTCACTATGTTCCAGCCGTTTATTAATTATTATTATTATTATTATGTTTTAAAAGTTTAGAGTGTTGAAGCGTTGCAATTTCTCTGACAGTTCATTTGTTGTTAGATGTAAATTTTCGTACAAAACTTAGTTTAATCACTCCTCAACGAACTGAACTGGATGGTCAGAACAAGGTGCGCCATTTTATTCAAAATTTCAGTATTTAAACTTGACATAGCAATGACAAGTGGCTCTTTCAGCTATTCCACCCTTTCTATGCACATACAAATGTCACGACCAACTTGAGTCCTCCGAACCTGAATTAAATTCATATCAAAAAGGAGGTGTTGAAAAATGCCTATTTTTCTCAAACTAACATTCCACTTTAATGATCTGAAAATTATCATAGATTACAGTTCAATTACATATTCTTTTTTGAATGTTTTAAAGCATTATGCAAAAAACACTTATAATGGCACGCGGAGTGTTACAATTTCAAAAAAAAGGGTGAAAACCTTAGTTGCTGACTCAATACTTTCATTACAGAAACACATTCATTTTTAGTAAAGATTTTTTTACTTTTTTGAATGAAATATAAACATGTATGAAAATGAATGTATTTCTAAAAATTAATTTCTGAAATTTCTAAGATATTGTAATTTTACGTGATGTTAAGACCACTGTACCCCCCTCCCCTTTTGGCTGATTCCTAAAGTAATAATAGCATTTGTAGATATTGACTACTTACTTAACTATATACTTACTTATCTATATATAGTTAATTACTTACTTATTAAAAAGGTTATAATAAATATGCAAAAAATATATATATAAAGTAACAAAATAATTGATTTTTGTATTGTGTTAATTCTTTTGATCAAGCAATATATTATGATATCCTACTTACCGGATATTGAACAAAAATGGGTTCTTCTAAGCTTTGATACCATTGAACACATTTTAATAACTCTTTACACCTGAAAAAAGAACATCTTAAACATTCTTCAAAATAATGACCGGTAACTTTTTATAATTATTTCAATTCCCATTAATAAATGCGTTACCTATTAGTATTTTAAACAGTTAAGGCTGTTTTCCAAAGACTCTGTCGTCACATGAAAGAGCTCTTTTATTTAAATAATATGCAGTTTTAATGACTGCTTTCATAACTTTAACAACTGCAGCAAATTTATCTGCAACTATTAGCCAAGTTTAACCTAACTTTAGCCAACGCCTTACGTGCTAATTCTGAAAATGGCACAAAACGTCTATAAAGTCAAGTTTAGCCTAACTTTAGCCAATGTCTTAAGTGCTGGTTTTGAGGGTGACACAAAATCACTATGAAGAAAAGCCACATTTTCGAGGAAATGAAAAGCGTTTGCAATTTAATTTTCCGATGATAAGAAAGTGACTCCAACTATACATTATTTAGACCAGTGAACATTTTTAATAATTAAGAATTATTCAATGACTTGGATAATTTTCATCGAAGTAAGAAAATTTCGCCAAATTGCCAATTTTTAAAATAAAATTGAATAACTTTCAAAACATTTAAATTGTTGTTCGTTCTAAAGCCTTAATAATTCTTTACGGCAAGACTTTCTACATTAAAATGGCAGCTTTGCTTCAAGTGCAACCTTTTTTTTTTCTTGGCGAAGAGCTTCGAAAACATGGTTAATAATTTTTCATTACAAATAATTTAATAGCATGCCTGAAAGCAACAGGCTTCTTGACAGTCGCGTGAATGGCAACCCCATTACTGTTTCTGAAAACAACCGTGTAAGCAGCTTAGGATGTGTAAATCTACTTATTGCGTGTCAAAACATAGAAAACGACTTTAAAGCTCAAAGAAGGCTAAACTTTTGAAAAGAAATGTTTTTATAAAATAAATAACTAATATTTATTTCCAACAGCAGAAGAAAGAAAGAAATTGAAATGAGAAAGAAAGAAACAATATGTATTACCATTAAAGTGTAGAAATCAACTATTCTGCTACTGTCTGCAGGCTACCTAGATAATGTGCAGATTAACTAGAGTAATCCAGTAAAGCGCCAAGAAAACTGTCAAAAAATTCTCACATTACCGAGATAATCTGCACATTACCGAGATAATCAGCACATTGCAGAGATAATCTACACACTACCGAGATAATCTGCACATTACCGATAAAATCTGCACATTGCAGATATAATCTGCACACTACCGAGATAATCTGCATATTGCAGAGATAATCTACACATTACCGAGATAATCTGCGCGTTACCCCCTAAGCAGTTTTAAAGTTAAAATGAGATCCTTGCTGATTTCTGAATGTTTAAATTAACATAATTAAATGACTACAATCAAATAATCAACAAAACAGTTGAAAGAATCAATGACCAATCACTTTGAAAATTATATTACGAAGAATCAAACGATTTTTAATATTATTATACTTAAAGAAATTAATATAATGACATTTATTTATTTTTCGATATCAAAATAATCAAGTCAATAAATACAATCAAAAAAATCAAAAAATTAGTTGATAGAATGAGCGAAACGAACTGAAGTTTTACCATACAGATCCGTCAATGCGCTCGTGTAATATACTTTGGCAAATTACGGACTCCGTAAATGTAGGAAAATTGCGGATATCTTTTGCTACAGCACTTCAACCAGTACCCTAGCTAATCTGAAGACTAGCTAGGCAATGTGTAGATTAATGACTTCAGAGCCCTAACAGTAACATTTAAATAAAATTAGGTTAGTCTAACATTTATTTATTTATTCAAAATTCTGCACATATTTAAATTATTGAAGTTTTCATAATACAATGACTCTGAAACAGTTGAGATCCTCTGAAGTCACATTGTGTCAATTTTTAACAGAAATAATTCATAAGGAACTAAAAATTTTGGGATAGTCCGTAAATGATGCCCCGCTTGAAGGAGAGGGGGGGGTCGTGAAAATGTGAAAGTTTGTGACAAGGGGTAGGAAGGGGATTTCAAGAAGTGTGATATCCCACAATTTGGTTAAAATAAAAATATTTACACGGAGACGAAAAGTATGATCTGAATTACCAGAATATGGTAAAATGTATCGTGTTTCTGGTTCTATGGGAACACCAAGAAGCATGAAGTGAATTACTGAAGTGCTTTGGTAATGATTTTGGTAAAATTAGCAATAAAATATAGTTTTTTAATGTATATTAAAATCTGGTTGGTAAATGAGTTAAAAGTCTTAGAGACTGGCATAAAAATCATTTGTTCGATTCAATTCACTTTTCAGTTTTGTATATTGGCTATATGTCTGGTAATAAGAACTAACCAGGATTTCCAGTGAACCGTTATATATACGGAACAATTACCAAATGAATGGTTTAAATACCATATATAGCCAGAATTATATTTTTTTATCAGAAATGTTTTTTCCATACAATACGTTCATTGCACCAAAAAAATTTTCTATGATTTTAAAATTTCTATTATATAAAAATTTCTATTTTATTTTCTACAGATATAAAAATTTTGAAAAAGAAATAAAATATTTTTGAAGATTAAAGCAGATTAACTATTTTCACATGAATCGTTTAATATTTTTTTTAATATTTTCATAATATTTTTTAATATATTCTATCAAATTGAGTACANCGAAGACTTTTGAACACGCTAACATATATTTAATTAATCTAGCGTGACACTTAGTGACAAAAAGAGGTGTCAAAAATATTGAAAAAGGGTCACTTAAGTTATTGACTGACTCTTTTGATGAATTTTATAAGCTGAAAAAATATTAATTTTTTTCACACTATTTCAAAACATTGTTTCTAAAAAAATTTAACGTTGAATCTTTTTTAATTTTCTTTTTTATTTAAACATTTTAAAACATTCCAAAAACGCATTATAAATCATTTTTATTGCTTTATCAATGATGCATATAATTTTGCTCTATACATTTTATACTGTTTGAAGATAATTCATTCATTAAATGTATTTTCTTTGTATTCAGCTTTACTTAGTCACTCTATAAAGTTCTAAGCATACGAACACTTGAACTAATATTTACCACTATTTCTTTTTTCCTTCTTCCCCATAGAAAAGTTTTATACGATACTTCATGCTTCAGTTATTTTAGTATTATACAACTATTTACTTTCTTAAACTACAATTAATAACAGTTTTTTCACATAAAAATAAATATTTTTGCAACCGTGCAAAATTTATATATTAAAGAAGATTCTAGACTATTCTAATCTAATCTTTATTTTAAGAATCGCTGTATTGGAAAATTGAGTACAAAATTTTATGCTATAAATTTTATACTTATTTTATATATTTTGTACTTATTCGAAACATTACAAAAGTGGTTGTTTTTTGTCTTAGCCTTCTTCGACAGAAACTATCTTAGATAGAAAGTAATCATAAAGAAAAAATTTAATTATCGAAAATAACAAGTGCATGTGTGATTAGTTTTCAAAATAATAACTGGGGCAATTTATTCATTTTTCAAGTTTATAGATACCAAAACTTCTAGATGTATGAGAATTTTCAAATGAATGTTCAGTTTCATCGAAGCCGATATTAGGTGGCTAAAGCATACCGAACAAAATTAAACGCAACTAAGAAACAATAATTACAGCTATCTGACAAAGTCATGTGTAAAAATCAAATATTGATGTAACAAATGCCTGAATTTTTCTGTAACTATTGCTGAAAAGTAATTATATTTTTACATAAATGCATTGGTAGCCAAATTTTAACCATACTTTTACATTGGACATATAGGGTAAATCTAGGTCAGGTGGCTATAGAGAAGAAATGGCCAGTCCAAATATCTCCGAAATTTTTTAACTCATTGCAGCGGAAGTAGTTTTGCAGGAAGCCGTTTAATTTTTGTGTATCAATTTGGGTAAACATTACTTTTCGTAACAACAAAAAGTATGTAAAATTTTATTAATGTTTATTTTATTTAGGGGTCAAATATTCTTTATGAATTAAGTATTCTGTTGTTCTTCAGTGCGTAGGTTATATTTTTTTTTCAACTAGACGGACCACTTTAAAGCATATCTATAGGCGAACATTTGCTCCTGGTTGAAAAGCAATATTATAATGGAGTGACGCTATAAATTAGTTGACCATCATAAACTTTTGGAGAGATGGCCATCGAGAAGACTTGACCACTTTTCATGAATACGTATTGACAAATCAAGGTTCGTAGGTTACTTAAAAAAGTAAAAATAGGTTGCAAAAGTAAAAAAATAACATGCATATTAGTAAATTAGTCTTCACCATCATCTCTAAGGCTATAACTCTACGAAATCTTTAGATTCGTTAATAGTTTCTGCTTGGTTTCGTTATTTTAAGATGAAAGTAATAAAAAAAAAATCCTTAGTTTTTTTTTATTACAATATTGAAAGAGTTAGGACCATACAAACCCTGTATAATATATTCTGATTCTGCAAACCTTCATCCGATTGAACCCTATAAACTACTGGATACTACATATTATTCGATTCTACGTTCTCAGAATTTGAGGAATATCAGTGTGTTAACTGCTGAAAAGAATACAATTACCGCAACTAAAAAACGATGCCAGGATGAGATGTGTAATGTGCAGCAATGACTCCGTGAAACATGTACAAACTTCAAACTTTGAAAACTTTTGCCAAAATTGTAGTCAAGTTTTTCGAATAGATTAATTTCATACCTTAGATTTTGCTTGGTAGATTATTTTTACATATTTTCCAAGTTAAAAATTCCGTCCTTGCAGTTTATTACAAGTTTTTCATAGTTAATTATATGAAATTTGTTATTTTCCATATTTAAAACCCATTAACGCCTGAATTTTTTATATACCATGACTCAAGAAAAGCTCCTATTGAAAAAGTGATAGTTTGTTTCAGCTAAATGAATATTTTTTTTTGTTAACAACTACTTGCTATTTGAAAAGAATAAAAACATTTGCTGAATGTGAAAACTATTCTGCTTGAAAGAAAAAGAATTCTCGTAATTTGCGTAACATGCTGGGTCTTCACTTTTCTTTACTGTATTCGATGACATCTCACCTTAACATTAAGGAGAGATGGCCACTTGTTAGTTTAATTTCAAGCAATTTTTTTAACATTTTATTCTCAGTATCCCATAATTTTTTACTCAAAATATATTGAGTATATGTATGGTCAACTCAAAACCATAAGAATATGGTAAATTTTATCGTGCTTCTTGTTCATCGGGAACGCTAAAAAGATTGGTAAGAAGCGATTTAGGAATGGTTTTGGTAAAATTAACGATAAAATATTGTTTTATAAAGTGTGGTGATATTTGGTAAAATTTGATATTTTTTCATGATACCTTAGAAAAGTGATTTTCGAATGGTGCTCTGCGAAACCCTCGAGTTCCTCGAGTTTTAACAATTTCGAAACGTCATTACAATTCGATCTATAATTTATTTAATATTTTGGTTGCCTTTACAAAATTATTTGAAGGAAAGAGCCAATGAAAAAGGTTTTTATTTTTGAAAAATATATGGAATTTTTCTAATAACCATAAATTGAACAAATTATAAAAAAGTCAGTTTTTAAGTATACGAGTATATATATAAATATTGCAATAATAATTTCCATCGCATTTTTTAAATCAAAATAAAGTAACTAAATTCATTAACAAAGGAAATGTGCTCCCCTAATAACCTATTTCAACCTTTATTGGTGTCATTTCCATGTTTAATTTCAACGAAGACCATATTTCATTCATTTTCAGCTTATGTATATTCACCAAAGAAAACTCATAACAAGACTAGATTCAACTTCAGGACAGCGCGAATGCAGAAGTCGGACATGAAACATGAGTCAACCACTGAGGATATTTTACGTCAGCACTGTGATCGATGCGAGCTGGTTGCAAAATTCGCATCAACCAGTCATCGCTAGATTCCAACCTGGGTCACATCATTGGAAAACGAGTGCTCTTTCCCCTGAGCCACCACTGCTCCAAATCGATTATTTTATCTTATAAACATAGTTAAACAATCGACCCAATTTTTGAAGTTTACGACGATCAGTGTTCAACTCCGTAGCCTTGTAATTTTAAACCCAATCTGGAAGACAAAGGAACTCCTGGATCAAGTATTGGGTGAAGAACTTTTTAATAGAACTTTTCCGCATTTACGTTACATGGAAAGGAAAACCATGAAAATATTCCCTGGTTAGTCTGATGGTAAGGGAATCTAATCCATAATCCGTCAACCACTGAGTATATTTTACGGCAGCACTGTTTTCAGCGCGAGCTGAGTGCGGAATTCGTTTCGACCCGTCATCGCTGGGATTAGAACCCGGATCACCTCATCGGGAGACGATCGTTCTATCACCTGAACCATCATGGGTCCTAATTCGCTTATTAAATATTCTTTAAATGAAATAATATTTTATTTGTAAACGAGTTCACAATAGTTTTCATATACTTTTGTTTATAAGAAAGGGGTTCCGCCGAAAGGTGGTTGACCATTTAGGGTGCCATAGTCGAAAAAATAATTAGAAACCTCTGCGTTAGTACCTGCAAAACTATTTATTGGATTAAATGTGCTTTTCAGCTTTGTTTTCTTTTACTATATGTGTGGTAATACGAACTATAATTTTGAACGGAAAAGTTTCAGAATAAAGGGTTTTCAATTCCGTATATTTTGGGTTTTATTACCAGAATTATGTTTTTTTTTCTTTTTGCAAAAAAATGCCATTGCAATTTTATCAGATATTTTTTTCCATGAGTATTATTCGGCAAAATTTACTCACATTTTATATTTTAAAATCAAAACCAACTCCTGCCGGCTAGATGTGTTACACGTCAGGAACACTGTTTTTCCAATATTGTAAATCATAATATCAAAAACGAAAGTATTGTAAGTTTAAAAAAAACGCTTCTGCGCATTATTCAAAGTTTGGAAATCTGTTAAGACTATTAGAAATTTTAGACCCATTTTGAACAAAAATATCGTTCAATTTTTCTGCTACCTTAATGTAGTTTGCTGCAATAGTTAAGCGATATTATTGCTGAAATTCATTCTTTTTATCATTGATTTTAATTTATTGATTAGTAAGGTTTAATATGATACCCTAAACTTGGAAATCTTTTACACTGTCATAAAGAGTGAACTGTTTTGAACTAAGACATCGTACAACTTTTTCGAAACCTTAATATGAATCCGAGGTGAATCATATTACCATTCAAAATAATATATACGTGTACTTGATTACGGGCTGGCCTGGTTTAATATTACCCATTAGTAGAGTTGCAGTGAATTTGCACGATTTTATGGTTCAAAGTACGAATGATAAGTTTCGCCTTAGAACCATTTTTTCTGAAAAAGTTTTTTTTTTTTAAAAAAACCAATTAGTTTCTTCTTATAGTTAATTTTAATACACTAGCGTTACAATTGATTTTTCAACACAACACGCCTTACGAGTTTCAGTGTCTCTAGATAACTCTAATAGTTAATCAGATGGATATACTATTTTTAATCCTAAATTAATGAACATAACATCTATTTTTCTCATTACTTCACGAATGGCAAATACACTCTCGTCAGATCAAATAATTCAAACTACTATTATCAAACATTTAACTACCTTAATGATATTTAAATAGCATGTATATATATAGATCTATTGCTTCTGCCGTTCGATATGGGTTAAGTTCAAGACTTCTATGCTATCATCGCCAGCAGTGTTTTGAAGTGCTGTAACTATAGTAAAAAAAACAAACGTAATACCAAATGGAACAATTGCAGCTGCAGGCTGGCGTTACGTGAGTTCGAACTGTTCCTTTTAAAATCACGTGACACTCCAATGTCACGAGATGCTTGTAAGAGAAAGTGCGGGGTCGAGCTTCATCACCCTGGTAACAGCAACCTGAAACGAGAAAAAAAAATTATAAAAGAAATGATCCAAAGGTTGTGTTTGTTTTTCTCTACGATATCCATTCAAATAGGTTAAACGAATTCAGCATGAAAATAATAAATTGAACTTAACGAATTTTTTTTTTCTGTTTCCCTAGTTCTATCGATGAGGAAGGAACTATCATTTTACGAATTGTATTTTCGTGTTCCCATTTTATACAAATAATTGCATGATAATAAATGTTCATATTATCATTTCCGAACTGCAGTAATAAAAATTGATTAGACCAATAGACGAACATCAGTAAAACTTGGTACCTACACTACACACACCATGGATAAAAAAAAGGACTGAAAATTAAAAAAATCATATAAATTTAAACCACCAGGTGAGAAAAAAATGTGCATAAGAAACGAAAAAAAAATCGCGTACTTTAAATTCTATTTAATAACAGCCATGGCATATGCTCAATGTGCGCTCCCATTTCTACGAGCACATGCTCAAAACGTGTTAAACTATATCTAAACTCGAATGGTTTCTCGATCAATTGTTGCAACATAGCATGTTAGACTTGCTTTAAATCAACTTTTGCTTAAATATACCCACAGTCCTCTTCTCTGTCTAATGCACTTAATCAGTCTTTTCAAATTTAACTTCTTCTACCCGAGCCTTTTTCGTAAGTTTTTTAAGGATGGATATTCTAGCAGTGGTATTGACAGATTACTGTTATCCTGCCTCACTGCAATACTCTTTCTTCTGGGCATGTTTCAGCCTGAATTTCCGTTTAACTGTATTTTGTTCTACATTGCATAACTCCCTAGGTCATACACTATAAGCGACATCTATTGGCCAAAATATAAACTTCTTGCTGATTTTTCCTTTGCATGGTAGATGTAGCGAATATACCAAATTTCATCAATATCGATTCATTTAAAAAAAACGTTTCAACAAAACCGGAATAAGCACTGCACGCTTCATGAGCCCATTCTAAGAAATCTGAACATTGAATCCAGTCTTCAGTAACAGGTTCAATGTATTTTTCATCACAAAACATACAAAAATAACAGTCATTTTTATCTATAGGCACTTCCTTACGCTTCTTTGCCCTGCTTGGACCATCTTTACTTGAATTATCATCATTTATTTTACACTTTTATTCTACTTTGACTGTCCCATCTTGCCCGGTCCATCTTGCCCGAATAGTACATTTTTTAAAGAAATTCTCTGCAAATTTGTTAAAACAAATAAATTTTAATTTTCACTACTCATTATGTCTGTACAATAACACTGCAGTGCCACAAATTTATAAAATTAATTGCAATGTATTAAACAAATAATAACAGCATGCAAACCTGAAAAAATATTTTAACACGTCATAAGAAAAACAAAACAATGCTTGCATTTGGGTAACACCTTGTAAACTGACGAAAAAACTTGTGCGTATTGAAAACAACAAGATTTTTTTTCTGAAAACTCACTCTAGATGTCGCTACCGTGATGCGCATAGAAAAAAAAGCGATGTCCCGTACTTCCCCTAAGAGACAAAATATTTTTGTATGATAAACTGAACTGTAAGAAGTTTTAGTGTATCTGAACACCAAAAAGGGTGACAAATACTACACAAGTGGTGTTATACTTAGAGTTCCACTGCACCAAGAACCAAAAAGAGTTCCTGATGTACTGAAAACACATAGAATGTTCTACTTGTTATAAAGTATCCATCAGCATTCTTGTTATTCAGAAGCACTTAAACTTACAATTACAGTAAGATAGGATACAAATTAAAATCATTAAAGTATCAATGTTTCGATAAAGCAAGTAAGAGCCATTCATTTAAGATGCACATATACACTACTTCGTGAAACGAAACCAGTTTCCTTATCAAACATGCACACAGCACAAAGAGAATATTAAAACGAATTCGAACCAGACGTAACGAATCAGAATTGGAAAAAAAAAATTTAAATATTATAATATTATTAATTACAATTGACACATTAATGTAAATCTTCTAAAGAGAACATAATTTTCTTTATTAAACTAAAAACCTACTTGTATTTTGTAACAGTTTACATGAGTAGATTGTCAACTCTATCCGACAAGATTGAAATTACGTGGCAAATAATCGACTGTTATTTTAGAACTTGCTCTCCCACGCAGGTACTGGTGTCCATGCCTAAGCCTATTTAGGCTTCAACGTCTTCGGAGTTGCAGTAAAGCATGCCTGCTTCCTTCCGCAACCATGTCCACTCACTCATATGAATGACGTATGTGTAGAGTGTGTTTTCATTAGTTTCCAGTATAGCTATAGTATTTCCCTTTTATCTTACCATAAGGCTATGGTGTCCCGTCATATACCATATAAATTTCTATGGTTAGCATAGGCTTATGGTGTTTTGTCATATAAATACCATACAAATTTCTATGGTGGCTATAGGCGTATGGTATCTTATCATGTAAGTTTCATACGAATTTCTATGGTTTCCATAAGCTTAAGGTATCCGTCCATACAAATTTCTATGATTGCCAAAGATTACCATAGGCGTGTCTATGGCAAATTATCCTAAGGGATGGTGAAGTCAAATTTAGGGTAAATTAATAGGCAAAACATGTCCCCATAAATATGTTTTAGCGAATATGAATGGTATTCAAAAATTAGTCATGAATATGTTGCAAATATATCATAAAAGCATGGAATCCACTTTCATAGTTGAGTGTAATCGGAAGACCTCATTAAATAGTTTCTATTCACTAGAATTTTTTAGAAGCGTAAGACAACAATTTACAATAAGAAATAAACTTTTAAAATGAGTAGGTACTGTTGCTTCAAAAAATATATTTCGTGAAGTCAAACAAATTACTTTAAAAACAAATTTCCTTAATTTCTTTAATGTAAATTTCCTTAAAAACAAAGCGAAAGAATTGAATTATTTAACATTTACCTCAGAAAGTTATCTCATAGAATTGTTAGAAACTTGTAACTGATTGCAGTACTTTTTGAGTCTGAAAACACTTCAATATTTTTCTTTTTGAACTAACAAAATTAAAAATAAAGTACGGCCTAGATAAAGTAAGTCTCAAAAGAAAATAGCGAATTATTTGTCAAACAATGCAAAAACATTTTAAACAATAGAATATTGTTCCTTTTATTGAAACTTCAAAGAAAAATTTAATATTCCTGCTAAAAATAAAACAAGTTTCTCTAAAAAAAATATATTATGTTACATTTGTTTATCTCAATTACGTAATTAAAGAAAATATCTCAAGGATATTTTTTTAAACTTTTCTTTGAAGCTAAATTCGTTTGTTTTGAATTTTTTTATTTAACTTAAGCACTTTGCTAATTATTGTGATACTTATAAGAAATAAAAAAAAACATTCGGGAATGGGATAGCTATGAAGTTTTATAAGAAAATTCTGAAGTAAATTAAAAACACTGTGCAATGTTTAGTAACCGATTATTTTTTCTTTAAGTATTTTGATAACAAAATTATTAAAATAATACTTTTGTTTAAAGAAAAACACACTCATTTTAAAGCCAACAATTTTAAAAGATTAGCAGAGCAAAATTGAGATTTAATATTATAAAATACTTAATTATTATTGAAAATATGCTTAATAATGTAAAGTTGATAATTTTAATTATTGATGTAAAATTTAATTTACAAATGCTGTAAAAATGGAAAAAGTCATCATGTTTCCAGAACTCAAAAGTAACTTACAATCAAGACTCGTCAGACGTGAATAAGGAAAACGAAAAAGATTTGAAACAGAAAACAGCTGCCAGAATAATGAAAATGTATAAAACTATGGAATTCAGGGTAGTCGAGGGTGTCAATTTCGAGCAAGTTGCATTTCCAAGCGCTATGGAGAAGTAGTAATATAATACGCCATTTACTATGGAATCGGCATTTATTTGAATGAAAAAAAATTCCGAAGCATCAAGATGAGCTGATGTGACAAGGGATGAAAGAATTTTGGAGCATCGAAAATAAGGCCAGCGCCAAGGCAAGGGCCAGCGCCTTTGCCAACCAGGCTATCCCGGCCCTAAAAGTAACAGCACATTTTACGATTAATAATTTATTTTTATTTTAACTAATTTTATTTACAATGATTTGGTCTACAGCTATGTGTATTCAATTTGAACAAATGCATAAGAATTTGACATCGAACAATGAAGTTTGCATATGCCGGAAAAATTAAACGAATCAAGATTATTTTGATTGTTACTACTTAATTATTATTTTTTAATATTGTGGGCCAATAGTCCTATCGGGTTGGCATTGACTCAAATTAGTATTTTTTTTTCGTGAATTTAAGAACAGAGACAGGTTTTTTTTTTAAATAAGTCAATCAATCGATCAAAATTTAATTTATTGAACGTATTGCTTGGTTGCCTTCACTTAAGCAAATTTAAATAGCATAAGAGAAATGTATATACATAACAAAATTAGAGTTTATTAGACCAGTAGTTTTTCAAACATTTTTCTTTTCGTGTTAAAATTTAAAGTTTTGGTTTAAAAAAAACTATCCAAAAGTGTAGATGGTTATACAAAAGAGTGCAACAAAAAGTTTTTGTATAAAAGTATAATCTTACTTCGAAACAACCAGAATGCAAGAAATATACCACATTACAATGTATCACATGGCATATTTTTAAAGACATTTTTAGACTATTCTTTGTCGAAATATGTAAGTTTAAAAACGTTATAAATAACGGGGATCGCCTAAATGTTGCGCCAAACGTCTAGAGGAGTAACGCTTCAGGATTAAAATTGCATAGAAACCAATTCCCAAAAATGTCATTACACGTGGTTAAAGGAGCTCCCCTATTATGAACTGTTTCCTTTTATGCTTCTAAACTGACAATAATAGGAATGCACCCTTAGTCGCGTACAATGACATTTAAGAAGCCGTGGTATCTCAAAGGATAGAGCATTCGTTTTTAAATGAGGTAAACCGGGTTCAAATCCCAACTGTGACTGGTCGATACGAATTCCGCATCTGGATTG